AGGTTGAGTCAAAGGAGCCTGGGCCCAGGAACCTGGAAAGAGCAAAAACACACTCAGTGCTGAGTTCAGTGCTTGGCCTGGGTGAGTCTGAGGATGAGAAAAGAATCAGCCCAGAGTTCCCATGGTCCCTTTCCTGGAGGCGTCACCTGAAACCTGAGTGAGGAGGGTGAGGATGAGCAGAGACCAGGCCATGGTGGAGACCCCCCAAGAGTGTTGCCTTCTGAGACCCCAACAGTGAGCCTGTCTCCTGCAGACTTCTCTTATTCCCTCTTCCTACCTCAGAGGAGGGAGTGGCCTCCATGCAAATTTACTTCCTGCACCTGCCTCTCCTCACCCCACTCTGACCTCACCCTTGATATAGATGTTTCTGCTCAGCAGACAGCACAGCTAATCTCAGAGAATAAAGTGGTTTGTCAGGTTTTTTTCTCACCTATGACACACTGAGACCATTATTTGAGTGCCTAGTATATGCACCCCACCTGGAAGTCCCTGTCCTTCTTAGTGTAGAGATCAAGGTGGCCTCTAGCTGAGGGATACAAGCACTTTCCCTCTGAGACATCTGCGAGGAGGGCAGGGATAAGGCCAGATGGTGGCTAGAAAATAGCCAGCCACTCCACTCTCCAAGGACCGAAGAGAGAGTTGGCATCTCTCATTCTTTCTCAACCTTTTCTTTTTAAGCTCCTAAGCTGAAATGAATTCTCATGTATAGCTTCTCCCAAACTCTACTGTGTCTAGCTTCATGAGCATTTTTGCCACTTAGACAAGTAGAAATATTGGGACACAACACATACAGGGCACCCCCTTCTCTCAACCACCCACTCGGGAATCTCCAGGTAAGAAGACTTCATACAGGTCTGGTTAACTCAGTGCTTTTGCCAAATTTAGACAACACTGCCCCCCGGTGGCTACAGATGATTTAACCCAAGCATCTGTGAAGGTAGTTAATTGAGTGGGAGCTGGAAAAATCTGCTCTGTTCCCTCTCCTCCTCTTTTTATTCCCATGCAGTTCAGCAACACGTCTCTAGATAACCCTTACATCCATCTGAGCTCGTTGATCCTCTCTCAGAATGGAGTGTCAACTGCCCAACGAGGTAATCCCAGACTCACCCCTGAGAACAATTGAACATGTGTCTTAACTATCTTATCACAGGTTTTGCTCTCCTCATCTAGACCTTGGCCTGGGTGTGGAAGATTACATGGGAAATCAAATCAACTTCAGAAGGAAAAATGGATTAAAAAGTGGGACAAAGTAAGACAGATTGCCCTCCCACAATGTAAAATACAACATCCCTATGAGGGACAGGGGACTCAGTAGGACTGACTACCATCACATGGACAAGGAGAAGTGCGATTCTGTGATTGATCCTCTGAGAGGTGACAAGTCAGGACTGGCAAAGAGCCAGGCTCCAGGACTCATCCTCAGAGTGTGTCCATCTGTCACATGGGATATGATGTCCTTCTTTGTGCTCCCTGCATAGGACATTGGAATACCTCACCTCAGAGCTGTGTGACTCTGTGAAGCAAGATCTCCCTCATCCACAGAGAGAGTCTCAGCCTGGTGTATTTTTCTGAAAAAGTCAGATTTGCAGAACAAACAAATCAGGAATGACTGGTCCTGGCCAGATTGGAATGGAAACATCCTCACATAATAGTTAGAAGTTCTATGAATTAAAATGCTGAGAACACTATTTAAATGTCATTGTTCATTCTGCATCACAGACATTGTGAAAAGCAAAGAGAAGTGACATTCTGGCCAAGGGAGGGCACAGACTTATGGCAGCATCAGGCATTGGGGATAGGAAATGGGATGTGAAAGGAAGTGCGAGTTTTCAATTTGATACAATGGTTTCACTGCTGGTGCACTAATCATTTATGGGTTATAGGACTTGGTTTAGAGAATAATGTCTCTCGTGTGAAATCACAGTGGAGTGGCAGTAATCAATGAGCCGTTGAGAGACCCTTCACTGCACCTATGGACCCTGCACCTAAGCAAACTGGATCCTTTTCTCCTGGGAAAATTGTGGAGAGGCCTTCTGATTCCATTCCAGTTACTTTCATAGTATAGCAAGAAGCAAACCTCTGGTCTTTAGTAGGTTGCACCTAGTCCTCATTCCTGGTTCTATCAGAACCAGGAACAACTCAGAGCCCCCATGCTGCGGAAGTCTCCATTCTCATGTAGCTTGGCTCTGTGTATGTGTGACCACATGACAAGTCATGATCAGAAACACTAACCATGACTACTGCTCAAGTAGGCAAAATGAACATTTTTTTAAAAATATATTTTATTGATTATGCCATTACAGTTGTTGTATTTCCCCTCTTCATTTCCCTCCACCCTGCACACCCCTCCCCTACCTTTCCCCCTTTAGTTTATGACCATGTGTCTCAAGTTCTTTAGATTCTATATTTCCCATACTATTCTTGCCCTCCCCCTATCTATTTTCTACCTACCATCTATGCTACTTATTTTCTGTACCTTCTCCCCCTTCTCCTCCTTCCACTCCCCTGTTGCTAACCCTCCATGTGATCTTCATTTCTATGGTTCTGCTCCTGATCTAGCTGTCCTCTTAGTTTGCTTTTGTTTTAGGTGTGGTTCTTAATAACTGTGAGTTTGCTGTCCTTTCACTGTTCATCTTTTTTATCTTCTTTTTCTTAGGTAAGTCCTTTTAACATTTCATATAATAAGGGCTTGGTGATGATGAACTGCTTGAATTTGATCTTATCTGAGAAGAACTTCATCTACCCTTCCATTCTAAGTGAAAGCTTTGCTGGATAGACCAATCTTGGATGTAGGTCTTTGGATTTCATGACTTGGAATACTTCTTTCCAGTCCCTTCTTGCCTGGAAGGTCTCTTTTGAGCAATCCACAGACAGTCTGATGGGAACTGCTTTGTAGGTGAGTGTCCTCTAGTCTTTTGCTGCTTCTAGGATTCTTTTTAACTGTGATTAATATTCTATGAAAACCAAGCAAATAAATTAAAACACACATACTTATTCCCAAACCCATACTGAGGTCCAAATGAATATGATGAGTCCTTAAAAATTACATTTACACCCTGGTCGGCGTAGCTCAGTTAACTGAAGAATCATTCCATTTACCCAAAGACTGGGTGTTTCTTTTCCTGGTCAGGGTGAATACCAAGTTTGCAGGATCAATCTCCAATTTTTGCAGGTTCCATCCCAAGTCTGGGTTTGTACAGGAAACAATCATCGATGATTTCCTCATATATCAATTTTTCTACTCTCCCTTTTTTTCTAAAATCAATGAAAAATATGTTCTTGGGTGAGGATTAAAAACTTGCAATTAAGAGAAAAAAATTTAATATCCAGAATAGGTAGAGTGTAAAATGAGTGGCACTGTGTGGATTCCTGAAAGGTCACTGACCTGTGCTGCTGAGTTTCTGAGTGTATCTAACAGAGAAAAGTGGGTGGATATATTGCCTGTATTGATGTAGAACATGTGTAATTTTTTCCAACAATAGTGACCCTTGTCTTCTTCCCATCTGAAAAGAGACTTAAACAGGCATTCTGTTGAACTATATGAGAAAAAGCAGGGTGCTGTTCCCATAAATAGAGAGTCCAAATGCACAAGAAAACATGGTGATTTTTGCTACAAATGGGTCATGTTAGAGAGATACTGTTTATTGAACATCTAGCTACTGGCTCTCCTTGTAAGAGTCCCTCTTGTAAAATAGTGACTACCTGCTCAACAGGAAATTGTGGTCCCCCTTTAGAGGAGAATCACTACAAGTGGTTACAGGGGCCCCTGCCTTCCTATCACATTGAAATAATATATAAAATACTGGTCTTGCTATTACAGTCATGCTGTAGAACATACATCTGATGCCAAGAAGGATCATCAGAACAGTTGTCACTCTGATTTCTGCTGCTGTTTGACACAAACATGATCACACACTCACCCTACAGGCAGGCTCACCCTGTGACCAGCATTACACAGACTCAAGGCTGTGACTCAAGACATTATCCTATGTCTCCCATAGCAGAGACCCTTTCCCCCTGTGCTGTGACCCAACTGGGAGGGTCCTCGAGTGTCACTCTTGCAGCCTGGATGATTCAATATGAAGGTACTGAGACTTTACAGGGAAAGAGAGAGGTAACGTGGAAAATGTGAACTAGTAGCTTAAACAGAGACATTATAGCAAAGATGTGACTCCAGGTAGGATGACCATCCACCCTGATTTGAGAAGGAGTGAGCTCATTTTCAAGACCTGGCTCTCTCAGGGCTGAAGTTGAGAGGTCTCACAGGCTGGGATGATGAGGTCACTGTACCAGGTCTTCTAGTTCCTAAGCTCAGCCTCATTCAATGGTCAAAGGATGCTTGGCCTGAGTGTTATGAGTATCTGTACTTTGTGACTCATTGTAACTGGGATCACAGATACAAATGAGTTGGGTCATCAAGAAAATCGTATACTTTGGGGGTCCCTTAGGAATTATGTCACATTCAACAGATATCTTAAAGAACCAAACAGCCATTTGGAAATATCCTGCCACAAAGGGAAGAGATTTCACATGCAGAGCTGCTTCCAGTAGAATCACTCAGGAGTTTGAGGGGAGGTGCAATTTTGAGAGAGACAGTATCTTTCATTCAAATTTCCACTTCAAACATCTCTTGGTTATGAGAAATATTAGAGGCTCAGAAGGGAAGAATGAAAGGTAAAAAGAAAAAAGAAGGAAGACAGAAAGGAAGGAAGGAGGGAGGCATGGAGAGAGGAGACACTTCACTTTCATTCACACTTCATTGCTTGAAAAGAGAATCCAGGCCAGTCTGCACAGGTGTGGGAGACCAAGGAATTTAAACTGAGGATAGCCCAGAGGACTCTGAGTAATCTACCCAACAAGCAGAGCACAGAGCTCCCAGTGGCTGGTACAATGAAGGGTTTGGAGTGAGTGACCACTGGATCTATAAAACACATGCAAACACAATAAAACATAGACAGAGTTTCTGCTAGGATTTCAAGTGAGAGAGATCACCTGAAAAAAAAAAAAAACAAACAAGAGCCCTATATTTTCAAAGCTTTGGGAGAGGAGGCAGAAATAGGTAGAAGTAGAATTGTGCAAGCCATGCTGCATGAGCCCCCTGTGTAGGGATGAGGAAGCATCTTCAGGGCCAAGAGGGAGCCTGTTAACACAGGGAAGGTTTTTGTCTCACTTCCCCATGAACTCGCACCACTGTGGAGAGTGCTAGTCCTTGTATATGAACTACAGTAATAATCAGCCTCGTCCTCAGCCTGGAGCCCAGAGATGGTCAGGGAGGCTGTGTTACCAGACTTGGAGCCAGAGAAGCGATTAGGGATCCCCGAGGGCCGATTGCTGGTATAATATATCAGGAGTTTGGGGGCTGTGCCCGGTTGTTGTTGGTACCAGGAGATATCACTAGTATACCCAACATCATTGCTGCTTCCAGCACAGGAGATGGTGACAGTCTGTCCAGGAGACCTGGACACTGAGGGAGGCTGAGTCAGGGGAGCCTGGGCCCAGGAACCTGAAAAGAGCAAAAACACACTCAGAGCTCAGTTCAGTGCTGGGCCCAAGAGAGCAGAGGGGGAGACAAAGAGGCAGTCCAGATGTCCCCAAGGTCCCTTCCCTGAAAACCTCACCTGAACCCTGAGTGAGGAGGGTGAGGAGGAGCAGAGTCCAGGCCATGGTGGAGATCCCCCAAGAACGTTGCCTTCTGAGCCCCCAACCTGGACCTGGCTCTCCGGACCTTTCTTATTCTGTCATCCTGCCTCAGAGGAGGGAGGGGCCTCCATGCAAATCTGCTTCTATTTTTCTGTCCCCTCACCCCGCTCTGACCTGATTCTTGGTTCTAGATATTTTGCAGCCCTGGGTAGCAGAGCCAATCTGAGGCATTCTGTCCCTTCAACATGGGTTTTCTAAGGCTGAGCCCATGACAGTGCCCAGGAAATGCAGTCCGACTTAAAAGGTCCCCATCCATCCAGCTGTGGGTTTCACGATGTGCTCGAGTGGCTCAATACACTTGAAATCCCAGTACTTTCTATTTGTTCTGCATAGTTGAAGGTCGAGGACAAGGTTCAGAAGGGCTGGGGTTAGGAGAAATCTAATTTGTTTTCTTCTCAGGTACCCAAGGCAGAGCTGGTGGTTGTTCACATCCCTCACCCCCTTCCTATCCTCCTCAGTAGGAGGCTTGGTTCTTCATCCTGCCTGTTCAATCTCTGCACTGCTCTGAGGCTGAGGCCTTGTGACATTTAGGGTCCTGTCTTGCAGTACAGACTGGGGACACTCTACTTCCAAATTCTCCCTCTGGAGGACCTCACTTTGAACCAGGCTCTGGGACCTTACACAGGCCAGAGTAAAGCACAGCAGAGACCTCCGCAAATCTGGGCTTTGCTGCCACCTGGTGGCTAACGTTGGACTCACACACCTCAGGGTGGTACAGTTTACCAGGAAGGCTGCTTGAAAACCCCTGCTCTGCTCACCTCCCAGGCTCCCTCTTTTTCATCTCAACTCACCAACAGCCCCTTGATTCGGTCTAATAAAAAAAAATAATAACTGGCCAAAATGGAGTCCCTTTTGCTAAACTGCATCACCAAACCAAAACTTAATGCTTAACTTAATTGCAGTTTTAGCTGTCCTAGGGATGGAATTTTAAAATAGCAGTCCAAGATTTCCGGGCCACCACTGGTCAGGTCATATGCCTGATGAGAACCCTGCCTTCCCTGAAGGGGACGTGCCCTTGTCTGAAATAATCTATTCTTTTAACTTCTTAATCCCATCCTCTTTCTGCCTATAAAAAATGTCCGCTTTGTAAGCTCCTTGGAAAGCCCTTTCAGCTACTGGGCAGGATACAGGTCAATATATGAATCATGTAATAAAGCTAATTAGAGCTTCAAATTCAGTCAGATGAAGATTGTTCTTTAACACTTCTGGTCCTGTTTACAGTCCTCTCACTTTGTCACCAGCTTCTTCCAGAACCAAATGTGTTAGCTCCTGTCCCTGATCGTCCAGACCTGTCCACAGGACCATCGTGCTGGTCCTGGTGATCTGGTCAAAGACCCTTTAGGGCTGAGAAAACATTAGACATGAGATAGTCTGAACCCTGCCTGGAAGGCTAGATGAAGAGAAGACTGATCGATTGCCTACTCAAAATGAGGAAAAAATATTCCAGAAAGGAGAAGAGTAAGTTCACTAGGACTGAAAATAATGCAATAAACAGCAAGAGTGGAGCTCCAGTGTTTGAGGAGTTTTGAAAAGGACAATGGGGTCAGGGTTGCTCCAAGGGCCCCATTTCAGGGACCTCCCCTCAGGGAGTACCCACCTATCACAGAGGGTCAGAAACTTCCATCTCCGCACATGGAAACAACTTCACCCCAGAGCTCTGCCCCTTCCTGAGGTAACATCTCTTCCAACCACACAGAGATGATGGGCTTTCCTGGGAAAAGATGGGTTTGGGGTATAGACCCCAATCAGGCCTGATATATTCTACCCAGAATGGAAACAGAAATGTCCACTCAGGAAGTGGGATAAGAGTTTTATAGATTTCGACTATTCTGAGGAAACTACTTTGGTGTCACTGTTCATGACAAGTGACAGACATGTTCAAGAGTACCACAAGGATAAGGTCTTGGTTAAGGGCAGGATGAACTAAGAGCAGGATTGGGGGATTGGGGAGAAAGTGATAAGAAAAAGCTTGAGAAAACAACCTCCTCAATGACTCCTGAACTTCTGGGTCCACCTCTGAAGTGTGCTTGTATGGACTGGACCCCAAAGAGCGAGGAAGGATTTCAGAGCAGAATTAGGAGGCAGCCTGCTGCCCATTTTCCACATGGGCCCCTTTGTGGGGCGAACTGTTTGTGGATCCATGTGGTGCTGGTGAGATTAAAAATTCAATGGACATTTGAACACCCATTCACAGATGACTGGGAGGAATTTGTCAGCCAAACCCAAATGGCAGGTTATCTTCTAAAGTAAAAAAGTCAAGAAAGCATTTAAGAAGACCCACAGTTTTACTTCATAATATAAGATAGATCCAGAAGAGAATCCTAATTTACTAGACATATGAAGAACAGGATATCCACAGCTGTAGAAGAGAAAATCAACCGATGATAATTCAGAAATGATTCACATGTTGGACTTACCTGACAGAAGACTGAAAAACTAAGTTCTTAATATGTTAATGGCCTAAGTAGAGAAAAGCCTCTTGCAATGAATGAAAATGGGAAGTCTTAGTAACGAAACAGAAAATAATAAAGACATCAAATGAACCCATTGAAAAGTGAAAACTATACTAGATGGAAGGAATCACATTTCTCCATCACAGGTAATCCTCTATAACTGAGAGCATAGCTTTTTAAGAGAAATTATTCAAAATAGAACACACATTTTTTAAATTAGAAAATTATCAGTGAGATGTAAGATAACAAGAGAATTAGTAAACATGCAAATGGAGTCTCCAAAGTTGAAGAAATAGCAGAAGAACATCTCATGGCAAAAGACATTCAAAGTTAAAAAAAATGAACCCATAGATTCAAAAAGTTCAACCAACCCCAAGCACACAAAACATGAAAAAGAACAAACCAGGGACCACCCAGTCCACTTCTTGTTTTTATAGAAACCCTCCTAGAGCCCTGCTTATGCTTCAGTAACTATTCAGTTGTTAGTGAAATGTCAACCACAGAAGTTTATTTCCTGCAAAGTCTGTGAAACCACTTCTCTCCTTCACCTTTCCCCTCCTTCTCCCTCACTCTCTCCTCCCCTATCACTCGTAACACAACCTGAAGTCTTAAGGCCACTTCTGCCTCTGCCCGACGTGGGTGCTGTGCCGTGGTATCGCCATTTTGGCATCTCAGGTGACCTACTTCCACAGGAGCAAGAGCTGCTCCCCAGATGCATCCCAGGAGGCTGAGGGAACACAGAGAATGAAGACTACACACCTGGGCAGGAGCAGTTTAAGATGCTGGATTAAAAGTGAGTGAACACACATGTCCATGCCTTCCTCCACGAAACACCTCCAACACTGTGTTGGAAGAATTCAAACACATGAGAAAACAAGGATATTGGTAACAGGACTATAGAGAAAAAACAAGTCAGGAATTTGATGCACATGTGTTACCTGACATAGGCTGGTCAATGCCCAATGCCAAGTCTGTGGGAACACGGACCTGAGATACCAGTTGAGTTGTCAGTTGGCTGTGGCATTCAAGTGATGAAGGAGAGTACAACCACAGTTAGAATGAGAGAGGAAGCTTTTAGAAAAGTGAGAACATGCTATTGGGAACAGGCAACCTGAACCCAACAACTCAATAAGCCGCTACAAAAAAAATCAACATTTCAAACAAGACACATTGATTCATAACATAATGTAACAGTGGATGTATGTGGGATGAAATTCAAAGTTACACACAAACCATGAAGAAAATCTTGATTGACTAGAAAAAACATTTACCACATGCTAACCCCAATATGACAGGTATGCTGGAATTTTTTCTCCAAACACTTTAAAACATCTATTTAAAAGCTGATGAAAGAATTAAGTAGAAACCCTCTTGAAATGAATGGAGATATAGAACGTCTCAGCCAAGAAGTAGAAGATATAATGAAACACAAAAAGCAAACAAAAACAAAGGAACTACACTCTATGGAATTTACTACAGACTGCAAAACAAAAGACTAGTGACCTCAAAGTCATTGCAAAGGAAATTGTATGATGTAAAATGTAGGAAAAATAAAGAAATAAAATCAAAAGTTATCTGTGAACTTAAACTTGAAGTGGCACTTCAAGTGCCTAATACATGTACAATTGAAGATGCTAAAGAGAGACATAGAGGAATAGAAAGAAAACTACAATCTAGTAACTCAACAAACCCCAAGCACAAGAAACATGCAAAAGAAGGAAAGAAAGAAAAATAGAAAGAGAAAGAGAAAGAAAAGGACAGGGAAAAAAAAGAAAAAAACCACCACAAGGCAAATTCACCCAATTTTTTTTGTCTTGGGAACCTTTTTCAAGACCCTTCTTTGGCTTCTGTAACTATTCATTCATTCATTAGTAAAATGTCAACCATGGAGTTTTACTCCCTGAGAATCCTCCTTGGCTTGTGAATGTGGTAGTGATGGCAGCAAGGAAAACAAACATTAGAGTGAGTGGATGTTGTCACGTAAGCAGAAAACCCTCCAGACCTGCTCCCTGCTGGCACTAAGGCTAACAGAACACATTACACTGGCCCCTCCCCTGACCAGCTCTCTCTCAACAAAAGACAAAGGGCATAAGTCAGGCTGAGGGGGGTCCAAGTATTGTAGATGCTGTGGGTATTGTAACAAGATGCCTTGTGCTTTAGAGATGTTGCACCCTTTGACAGCCTCCCTCTGGAGATCATCTTATTCCAGACTTTTCCTCAACACACTCCAAAGCTCACCCCTGAGGAAGCTCACATCCCTACAGTGTTGACAGCAAGGGGACTGTCCTGAAATGTTTGTGTGTTCGGCCTGGAGTCTTGTTTGCACTTTCTGGTGTGAACTAGGTTCATCACAACACAAGCTGTGCACTAATGTCCTGATCAGTAATAGCCAATCCTCTCTCTCCCCCACCCAGAGCAGCCATCTCAGACTGGGCTGGGAAAATGTGCTGAGTCAGGCAGCAGAAAATGTCTGATAACATTCTTGCTGCACACCCAGTGCCTGCCAGTTACTCAGGAAGGCCATGTGTCCAATTCTGGGACCCCTTCTCTTCCCCCTCGGCCTTGACTGTCATCTTCAGAAAGGGATCCAGTAAACTGGAAGCTCCCCCAACATTGACCCTGAGCCTCTGTCAAGGTTAATGTCTCCCAGGGCCCCATCTGATAGACACATTGTCC